AAAACACTCCAATTTAGTCTGTTTCCAGTGGAAGGCATCATAGTAGGGTCATCTGAACAGACCAGATGAAGCTACCATATTGTTTGTAATAGGCAGCCATATTTGATTTTGAGGTCAAGGTTGGCGAAACATCAACCTTTTCAGGTCAGAATCCAGCTATATTCTGCAACATGACCCTTTTTTGAACAAAAGTCTACATGCAAAGAAATGCATTAAATAATTCATTCAAACAAAAGAAAATTAAAAAACAATCCACTTTACTCTGTTTCCACTGGAAGGCATCATAGTAGCGTCATCTGAACAGACCAGATGAAGCAACTATAAGAAAAGGCAGATAACGTGAGAGGTTGAAGTAAAAAAATCTTTATCATTAGTTTTCATTATCACACATAAATGAAAATTAATACTTGTGAATAAAAGATTCACTTTGATGTACACAATCATGGAAAAGACAAAGCAGTTACATGGAACTACTAGAGGGAGGAAAAACTACAGTAGAAAAAGAGGTGAGACCCATAAAGGTGCATCCTGCAGTCGGTGTTTAGCGCCATTAACCAGGAAATATTGAGAACATGGCCTCAAACCATCACATTCATTCCTGAGCATAAAAGTCCTTAACTGGACTAAGGAGACATTGAACTGGACTGTCCTGTGTGGAATTAAATCCTTGATATCATAATACATTTTTAATCTAAAATAAAACTTTTAATAATCCGGGGAAGTTGGGTTGAGTCTCCATTTACGACCCAGCAGATGGGTTACATTCTTCTCCACGCTTTGTTCCCATGTTGTGAAAATGATACTGTATCTGATCCAGAGTGGTACTTTGCCTCTGGGCTTCCGATGCTGCTGGTTGGTTTCTCATATTTTAGAAAATAAAAGAAGAAAACAAACAAAGGAATGCTTGAATAATACAGGCATGAAGTTTAAGGTTGGATTCTGCAAAGAAAAGATGCTAAGCAGATGTTAATCCAGCTGTTGGATTAATCTTGCCTTTGCTGGTTTGTTTCTTGCACTGCAAAAACGATCTAAAAATGAGTAAAAAAAGTCTTAAATGAAACACATTAACCCTTAATTTAAGCAGGAAAATAAGATGATCTGCGAATGGAATTTGTATTTTTACTCCTAAATTAAGATAATTAGATAATAGGCACTTGAAATAAGACAATATAATAGTTTTTTCTTATTTTAAAT